ATTGTTGTTTTTGACTATATGCCAATATATATGAAAACTATAAACAAGGTTATAGTTCTCAATTTATATGTGATTTTCATTCTTGTTTCATCCAATCAGCACAAGAATACAAAGGAAAACATATTGAAGAGAAATATCAAAAAATCGACAATCAAGAATAGGTAATCTACAATCAAGCATCAAGATGAAGGAGTTCAAGAATCAAGATTACGGAGTAAGAAGCCAAAATCAAGATTAAGAACTCAAGAATCAAAAGAGCCAATAATCAAGATTCAAGATCTGAAATCAAGATTCAGTAATAAGGAATTATTCCCAATGAATTAAAGTATGTTCCCCATTTAATAATTTTCTTGGTGATTTGACGTGGAGGATCGTGAAAATAAAGTAATTAGGTTTTTATATTCTTAAGATTTAAAGTTCCATAAAATTTAAACAAATGACGTCAGAGCCAACTCCATGTTGACGTGGCGGATCCAACATCCAGTGAGGTGGTGCGGTCGCCCATGCTAGATTCGTCGAAATTTACAAGCGCGGCCGCCCGAGCTTAGTTGCTATCACAGTGAAGTTGCAGGGAAGCAAAACGGGGAAGAAGAAGATGGTGTTCTTATTCTCTTTAGTTGGGCTTTAAAAAAAATAAAAAATTGGCCCATTACGAAATGTAAAGCAAACATAGCCCATTATCCCATATACCATATCAATTATCAGATTCCTCTCCCATTTTCAAAAAAACAGAGAGCTAAAGTCCCAAAACCTATCTTCTAAGTTCTACCTCCTTGCTCCCGCTCTCCGCAGTCTCACGCATCCCTGACTCACGCCATCACGCAGCATGCCAGCTTTGCCCAGAATTCAGAGGCTTCTACGAGAAATTGCCACTAACAAGAGTAGATTGGGTATCAAAGTATAAACTTTGTGTTTTGTTTGCTTGAAAATTGATTGGGTATCAAAGTGGAGATTTGTTGGGTTTTTGATACCCAATAAATTCTGGGTGATGATGTTAAACCGTTTTTTGGATAATACTTTATAGGTCTCGACCGATGAGCGAAGTGAAATATCGACATCACAATTATTCAGACCAATCCTACAACTTATTTGGGTCATTCGAAGTAGTCTAATTCAATTAATGCTGCTCAATGCTCATGACACAACCCAAAACCTTTGGATGGCTTTTTTGGTTGATAAACAATTTACACTACCTATTGGGCCCTCTTACTTATTAACCTAAAACCCACTTAAGCCCCTTTATATGATGCCCGTTATTGTTGTGTTTTGTGTGTGTGAAATTGATAGCTCGTGTATTGAGAGAAAAAACAGCGTTCCTTCTTGGCTTTGTGCTTTCTGCTAGGGCTGGGCAAAAACCGACCGAACCCGCCGAACCCGCCCGACCCGACCCAACCCGACCGGGTTGGGTCGATTTTTTTCAAATTTTTTTCTCGGTTCGGTCGGTTGGCAAGGCGGAGCGGGTCGGGTCGGGTTG